TCTCATTAATGCATGGTATATTGTGGTAACTGTAGAGACAATTTTCTGACATTAGTGTAAGATCATGATTCTGTGCACCTTCGTACATATGCACTGTACATAAAAATCTCTTCCTCTGTACATTCCTGTGATAATCAACCTTTATTTTACTTCCAGTTGTAACGTTGTTATTTTGAGTATTTCAGTCATGCATTCCGCTAAATGTTTGGTACGTGATGGGACTGTCGTTACTTTTCCAAATTGTTAACTGATTACGTAGTCTTCACATGCCAAGTTAATGTTGATTTCACCTAACCTCTAATCTTAGTTGCTATCAAATGGATTTGACCTGGTTCAATTGCTGGTCTCTAAAAACTGATCGTCATTAACTATCATGAAAAGTGTGGAAAATTGTTGTATGATTAATGATCAGAACACCACCATCTCTTTTAGAATAGTAACAGTTTGGAGTTTTTTCGAAATTGGTCTGTATGATGAATTGTGTACTGAATTGTTTAATTTTGTTGAATAACCCAGGAGACTACTTAAGGGTCGGCAATAACTGATCACGATCAAGGTCATCAGAAAAAGCTGTCAACCGTATGCGGAGAAGTTCAAATGGCTCATTTTTACTAGTATAGGAGTTGTGGAGATTATTAAGTTTTTGATTGAGATCATGAACCGATTGATGTTAGACCATCAAAATTGAAAACCTGGAAGCACTGGACGGCTGCTTCGTCCTATTGTGGGACTCCTCAGCAGTGCGCATCCACAACCCCTTTACTAGTAATTAACATGTGCTCACCAGTGACTAGCTTCGTGAGGGAATTCTCGGAGTTCTACTGAGAAGCCGTGACCAGTGGAGCTGATCCATGTCGGGTAGAGACAGGTATCTACCTCAGTACAAGAGAAGATGGTCGCGCGATTTTGTGGATTGGTTGATGTTAGAAACTATCAACATTGGATGCCGGCTCAGTGGTCCAGTTGGTTAAGCGTTCGCGCGCGAGACCGAAGGCCCTGGGTTCGAATCCCGCTCTCGGGATCGTGGATGCCCACTGCCGAGGAGTCCCACAATAGGACGAAACAGCCGTCCAGTGCTTCCAGGTTTTCAATTGTGATGGTCTAACATCAATCGGTTCATGGTTCATTTTTGTCTGAAATTTTTTCTCAGGATGTTGCTCAGAAGAACAATGAAAGCTTCAATCCTAAACATCCAACTCAAATAACGAAAGTACAACAAAAGTCAAATGCCGTACAAATGCAGTCCAAATCTTATATTCAGTGCCCTTTATTACTCAGCAGCTGTTTTTTACCTTTACGAGCGGAGAATGAGCGGTCGCTAACTTCTCATCGTGGCGGAGGAGAGCTGGACAGAAATATAAACTACAATAGTTTGGATTGAACATTTGAATCTGAGCACTTGAAATGTGTTGAGTACTGACCATGCAATACCGACGCCATGGGACGTGCAAACTGTGCGAAAAAGGAAGGGAGGGCAAAATAATATTATGCAAAATAGCTTTTCGTGTTGATTTGAGGTGGGTCTTAGGGACTACTAAGATTTCTTGAGGTCTTTATTTGTCAAAGCACGTGTTGTGATTCCTATAGTTACGTTGCTGTTAGACAGTTTGGTGGAAAGCTCATCAGGAAAGAGGATGCCTTGCAATTTAGAGGCCTTCAGATAGTTGCTGATGGCATTACCTTCAGTTCCATTCCCGTTGACTTAATATTACTTTGACTTCTTATACAGGACGTTTGGAGATCTTCCATGAAATGATTTAGGGAAACAACGTGTTGAGTCACTGCCTGAGAAATGAAAGCGTAATATGATGGGGCAATACAAACAAATATGTCATCTGAGTGTCTTCAGCTGAGAGAGACTCTACTGAATGTACAGCGTTTGTAATCAGGCTCACATAGGAACCTAAAGCCATGTTTAGCGAAGCCGGAGAAGGATGTATGAGTTCAGCCGAAAGTCGAGGTGTCTAATCGTAAGTCATCTAGGTTGCACCTTATCTAAAACTGACGTTTATCGCGTTTCGTAACCATAAAAAACAAATAAAAAAAGACCAATCGTTTGTTGTACACCGCTAGACCATCGGTAGTTGGCAGTCGTTCAGAGTCGCGCGGCGCCAAATGGTTTTATGAAAGAAGGCAGATGAGGACCGGTTTCCACAGCCAGTCGTTGTAGATTGGATTCAGTCAAGGTTTGGGACCCATCTTTCTACATCGAAGCGGGATCGATAGATATTTATTTTGGCCAATGTTTGAAATGGTTGGTACGTATCAAGAGATAATGGTATCCGTTTGGTGAACGTCGGTTCTAACAGATGAGGATAAACGTGGTTGAAACGAACTTCATGAATCTAAGGGGCATTCACCATGCTTAGTAACCTTAAATATTTGACAGTTCAAATAGAGGCGTGTCCAGTCCCGCTGGAACGTATTCATTCTAGGTCAATAAAGCCCATCAACAATGAGATTGTCAGTCGTTCGAAGTCCTAGACAAAATTAATTAGTTAACGTATTTAAAAAGTTGTGACAGTGATGTTTTGTCAGATTAGAACAACCTCTATCAATAGATGTGTTTTATAGTAAGGTTTCCTTATCCGTTTTCGTCTGGTTTATTTGTACCTTGAGTGTTGTTGACTATAACTCATGCTTTAGGTCAGCGTATTCTCTTTAAAGCTAGACAAGTCCAACAAATTTCATTCCTTTGAAGCTATTCAAGGAATTCATCCTCAACATGGAGACTACAGATGCATCAGATGCCACAAAGTGCCTTGTGCACATAGCATCCGTAAACTCTTGAGATTCAGAACCATCACCTATACTATCCAAATGTCTGGTTTGTGACGTAAACTGATTGTAACGACCAAAATTCCAATATTCAGTCTGAATTCAGAGCCAACAAACCAAAGTTTGTTTGATTTGACCATATCTACGTTCTTCTATACAAAATGCGAATCGTTTTTCTGTAAATCACCTTAAGTTATATCAAAACACAAACTCTGTTCTCACTTTAAACGGTTTCATTAAATCCGGACCCAATAAGATTGAGAAAATGTCGATCTATGGCTCAACTTGGTCCACTCGAAGGTAAGTTACGGAAACCATAAGGCAATAGGTAAGTAAATGATAAAAATTGTAAAGACCAACTACATGTGTACGGTAATAAGCGCTCCCAACAAGCTAAAACAAGTCTGAGTATCATGGCGAGCATACACAGATGACCAGTTTATAGTACAGTTAACTGATCTACATGTTTTTGCATCCTTATGATACTGGACTCTCAGTATTCTCATGAAAGACCCACAGTATGTACGAACTGCTATTCCAATGGAACTTCACAGGTTATCGATTATGGTTGTTTTCGAGTAGTCTAAAACGGCGGCTACCTTGCGTCATAAAGAACAAGTAGTCTTGTCGTTAGTGTCATTCAAATGCTGAAGGTGGGGTTACCTAAATTTACTTTCATAAAGCAGTTTTCAGTGTATGTGTGCGAAAGCTGAGACCTCCGATAATGTCTTTGATGGTTTTGGAAGTTTGTCCTGTGTATCGTAGTTCAAAGTGAATATGTGAATTTTCTTAAGGGTTGAAGAGAACTATGATTGCTTGGAAATGTCATCGTTGACGATTAGAACTTTGTTATGTTTCCATGAAGTCCATTTTTGAAAAGATAATCATGTTTTTCAACGTTGCTGTAGTGCTCTGAGTGTGGGCTACAAGGCAGTGATCCGCGGTTGTCGAGTCAAGTCTTCTTTGGTCGATTTAAGGCACCGATCACGGTTATCCTTTATACAGAAATTATGCAGTCGGGATAGCCGGGGCTGTTGAATGGCCTGTAATTTAGAAGTGTTACGAAATACCATTATTTATGCTCAGTAATTTTGGGGTCACGGTATTCTGGAGTTGCCCAGATGAATTGCTGTAGGTGTTATGGTAACAACGATAATCAGGGTTATATTTCTTAAGTAATTAGGTAGATCACTTGCACAAGTGGCTTTTGAGGAAGCTCGTGATAGTGCAGAACTATTATGGATATGAAGGAGGGTGAGTTTTCTGTAGAGATCTATTCTTTTTTAGGCCTGTACGAAGCTTCTCCTAGGTTCTGGTAATATTCAAGATCCGACAGGCCTATGCAGCTTGTTCATCAGCCGTGTTATCATGAAAAACGTTAAAGCTTGTACTTGCTGTAGAAACTAGGATGGTAAAGGTTTAAGAATAGACTATCATTAAGTCACGTAGGCCAGTAGCTCATCCCATGTGTGACAGTATTTCTGTGACTTAGCCGTATCTTAATTCGATAATGTAGAGTGATCTATTTAACATTTCCTATCTGTTTAGTCCTGTTATTGAAAGTTTCGGTTGGTTCAAAGAAATCAGTGTTAAATATGTTGGTGATAACGTATCTGTTTAACTCGGGCGGTAATGGTCCCACTACTTCAAGAAACTTTATACTTAGATCGGCTAATCTTTTTTTATGTAAGCCAGTTTGTCTTCGATACAACGGGACGGATATAGCATTAAGTGAAAATTGGTTTGGATAGGATTTGGAGTGTCTCTAGATATAATGGAATTGAACCTGACTGGGAAAAAATAAGAGACTGAACAATATCTATAATTTAGGAACAAGTAGGCCGGCATCATGTTCTGCTACAAGAATATGGAGCTAATATGAAGATTGGATGCTTCCACCGTGAGAAACTAAAGTGCTGAGATATAAGGTTTCTCATTTTCAGTGACGCATCACCGTGAGATATCGCCGTAGTGAGAAGACTAGGGAATAATTTTGTAAAATAACTACTAACTAAACAAATATGCAGACTAGGAGTGCACAACCAAAAATTTTCTTAAGGCTTGGATCCTCCAACTTAAAGTCTGAGATGTTGCCTTTATATAACTCTGAGAGCTGATACTTTTAAGTACTGCAGATGTATAGAGTCCTTCTTCTTCCATTTCTTTCTCAGTCATTCGGAATCTGCTTTTTATATATTGAAACCTTTTTTTTGTTTAGCTAAGGTGGCTTTGCTTGTTGTTCGTCAGGTCGCCGCGTAATTTGTCACCCAAGAAGTTGATACGTCCCAGCAAATCTTCCGTCTTCTATTTTGGCTAGACCACGGGTTTTGGCTTATACCATTGGTTGATACTCAAACTGGGAACAATGACTGACGACATAGACGTTGAGGCGATGCTTGAGGACCATTACGCTCGGGAGGTATGTTTTGTTTTACTCGTCCTAAGTTTAGGGTCCCTTGACTGGCACAAGATAATGTTATCTAATTTTGACAGAAATTCTTTATGTTTTGTTAGGATACTCTGGGTCTACGATCCTCGTTGACGTCGTTGTGGACGTCTGGCCCTTTCCCACCTCAGCTGTAGTTATCAATAGATTGTTTCGGTATGTTTTACGAAAGTATTTATTTTCTTGCCTGTCTTTTTTATTCCTTTCCACCTCCTGAATCTGCTAATATTGTCGCTCAATAGGGCTACTCGAAGTCCAATGGTCATCGAAGACGTGGTCGTTCACGTTCCAGGGATCGAAGTAGAAGGTATGGTTTCTGGGCTTTCGACAAGTTGCATTTTTCAGACATAAGTCGCGCAGCAGAAGCAAAGAACGTCGACGGGATAAAAATCTTGAATCCGACCGGGGACGACATGAACGCCGCCATAGTTCGCGTGACCGGGATCGACATAGGTCTAGTAGAGATGACCACAGATCGTCGCGGACTGAAAGACGTCAGAAATCGTATGTTCCTTTGTGACCTTAATTATTTTGATTTGTAGTCCTGAACTTAGTCCAGAAGAGCGAGACGCACGGACTGTGTTCGTTTGGCAGCTGTCTGCGCGCATTCGACAACGAGATTTGGAGGACTTCTTCACTTCAGTGGGTAAAATCAGAGATGTTCGTCTAATCATGGACAACAAAACCAAAAGATCAAAAGGCATAGCCTATGTTGAATTCCGTGAAGTAGAGTCAGCTCAGCTGGCCCTTGGACTTACCGGCACTCGCTTATTAGGCGTTCCAATTCAGATCCAACAAAGCCATGCTGAGAAGAATCGGGTAAGCGCTACTCCCTCATTGCCTCGGCCGTCACAACAGAACAGGGGACCGATGAAATTATACATAGGTTCTTTGCATTACAACATCACAGAAGAAATGTTAAAAGGTATATTTGAGCCATTTGGAAAGATAGAGGATATAAAATTAATCAAGGACCCTACTACCAATCGTTCGCAAGGTTATGGCTTCGTAACGTACGTCAATAGTGATGACGCTAAAAAAGCACTGGATCAATTAAACGGGTTTGAGTTGGCTGGCCGACCAATGAAAGTAAGTAATAAATCCGTAACTTTCAACTTTTTAGGTGAATCATGTAACCGAACGCAGTGAGTATGCTTGTCTAAGCGCTTTAGACAACGATGAGGCTGACCGTTCAGGCGTTGATCTAGGCACCACTGGGAGATTGGCTTTGATGGCAAAACTCGCTGAAGGCACTGGCTTAGAGATCCCCAAAGCTGCCCTTGCTCAACTACATATCGGGCAAAACAACCCGATACTGGGTTCAGCTGGAAGTGTTAGTTCATCATCCGCAATTGCTCCTCCCGTGTGCACACAATGCTTTATGTTATCCAATATGTTTGATCCACATGTTGCTACTCATTCGGTTTTCGAAGAAATACGCGACGATGTTATTGAGGAATGTACCAAGGCCGGCGGATGTCTCCACATTTTTGTTGATCGCACCAGTGCCCAAGGAAATGTTTACGTCAAATGTCCTAGTATAGCAGTTGCAACTCAATGCGTAAACATGTTACATGGTCGCTATTTCTCCGGACGGTTGATTACTGCAGCCTACGTTCCTTTAATAAATTATCACCAACTCTTCCCAGATTCCGTAACTGCGAAAACACTATTGCATCCTTCAAGTTGAAACTATTGTAAATAACCCAAATGTTTATTGACCACTGCATTTGTCAATATATTATCACTAATAATTTGTTTTCTTGACAGCTTTTGGGTACTGAACATTCCTTCTACTTGTCTTGATTGGCTGTGTAGGATTCTGCTTCTTAGTCTCACAACGGTTTGACAGAACGCTACTTAAGAAGGTGTTCAAATACGAGGGTTTCGAAGTGGTGTTAAACAAGCTATAGTTTCCTCGGTTCTCACCTACGAACTCAATAGAAACGGGAAATTCCTAGTGTGTAGTAAGCTTGAGTTTATCGTATTCCTCAGATATATTAAGTGAAACTTGTCATGAATGTCGCCTGGCGGTAAATTACTAAGTTTGTTTATATTGAAATGGGATGTAAGGTCACCGTTGACAAATAAGGATGACCAGTGTTCTACATTATCGGGTCACTAACGTTAAGCTGAGAGGCGGCTATATGCAGCACTAGATTTCAAATGGTAGGTACTATGTCGGTCTTTACGTGACAGGTACAGGCGGAACAACAGGTAGTCATTAAAACGGTACTCCTGGATCGTTTCGGTCGTTGCAAAGCATGTTATACTTGCAGTATGCCTTGGTGTTTACACATAAGGTTTGTTGAATCAGTGTAGACATCAGGCCTTACTGTGGTGAACGTTAATCTTCTGACAAATAATTTGGTACTCAGGATGTGTGCTGCTTTTGGAGCGGTTTGGTAACACTCCTGAAGAGACTACATTTGTTAACTTTTCTGCATTGTCTGTCTGTCTTTTTCAAGGATGCTCGCTACATAGACAGGATATTGGTTCTCGTTATCCCCACGGCAAGTTTTCTAAAACCCCCCTCCGCCCTTTTTTAAAAATTTTTTTCAACCCCAAAATTACAAGACAAGTACACAAATCAACGACCAATAGATTTTTCTTTCACACCCTACAATTTCCAAGAAATGGGTGGTAGGGAATCTTAATTGCCGTTTGCTTAATGCCAACCTCCTTTGCTCACAGGTCTCCATCATAACCCGACAGTATATTAGTTACGGACCGTAGCTATGCGACAACCTAGAGAAAACAAAATAATCACAGGATCTCTTCGCTAATTGTGCTAACCTACTTCCATCCACTAATCTTCATATGAAATAGAGGTAATATCTCACAATACCAATATCCTGTTTTATTGATGTTTAATTCGACTAGTGTCAGGCTTTTCTTAAAATCGGTGATTGGATGGGATGAACCTTCTAACAGGAGGCGTGGACGGCTTAAGTCACTACTAATGTTTTTATTCAGTTAGAAAAAAGGTGACCTGTTGTGCAACAGGCGTTTCAATGAGCTTGGATCCAAATAATCATATACTCGGTCGATTTCGGCCACTAAGTTATCTTAGAATAGTTGGTTATGTAATAGCCTCAGGTGAAATGATAGGTCGCTAATACATTGTATGCCGCACATTTATGAATTTGGTGAAATCAAAGAGTATTCTCTTGCGCTAATTCAGGTTTCTCACGGTAAATCAAGGTTTAACAGTGAATAGGCTTTAAATAAATCACGTCTAGCATATTTGCAACTGATCTTTACAAGCCTGGCAATCTCGTGATGTGATTTACTGATTAGAAACTTAATTTCCGAGGGTTTTGTTTATATAATCTTGCAACTGTGAAAGATAACTCATGGAAATAGAAGAGGATGATCATATGATAAGTATGTAATGATATTTCCCAAAGCCACTGAATACTTACTTCAGTGTTTATGATGTGAAATTAACTGAGGGACTGCTGAAAATGGGAAAGTTTCTCATAGTTATTACTTTCTAACTGTCATTATCAAATTCCGAGTAGCACTCAGCTGAGGATTAAAATTAAACTACCAAATCGTAGGTAGAGAAATGATCTATTTTTTCATACACTTAATTTGTCATTTGTTTTAATGATAACAGATGAGTTTACTTGTGAGAAACCGATAACAGAATGTTAGATTATTCTCAAAAATACTTGATAATCATTAGTTGGCAATTGTTTTTGTATAACTTTTATGAATGAATTGGTATAGAAAATTATTTAAAAACAAAGGAGTGGTTACTAACTGTTTTATGATGGTATTTTGAGATTTCAGGAAAATAGACTGATTGTAATGTGTAAATTTGTTTGTCATAAACTGTAACATCCATTTTTTGGTAGGTTTATATTAAACTTAAAAGTTAATCCATGCTCTGAGGTAGTGTATGTGAGAAAATTTGTAAGACAGGAAAACAAGAGAATAAGTAAATCAATAACTCAGTAAGTTTTAAATTCTCTGTGATGATTGATTTAACTGTGAAGCTTTCGTTGTCCTTATGGGCAATATCATCAGCATATACTTCAAAGACAAATGAGTTATTGAAACTTTTAACATCCTTAACCTAAGCAATAAATATTCCCCGTCATATTATGCCCTGGTACGACCGAGAGTGGGGAGAGCCCGCTCTTCTCTCGAAATTCTTTCACATGGCCACGTGCATACAAGCACTGCCAGGGAAGTCCTTTTCACTGCCTTCTCGTGGTGGTGGTGGTGGTGGGTTGTTTACGAAGTTGGCAGAACGAAAAGCAAAAGTCCGGCGCTTTGACCGGGTTGGTGGATATGGAGGATTCACCTGGGGGAGTTAAAAAATCCTGATTCCAAACTAATGGTGCACATGGGCTCCAGGATCCTGAGGGAACAAATGGCGTATGAACCAATTTTTGGTCACCGGCTACCATGGGAATGTATCTTCTAACGTTGCTCCATTGCCTTGTGGGTTAGACCTTTATGTCAAAGGTTCGGTGTGGCTCCCTAAGAAAACCACCTGTTTCGGTTTGGGCACCCGGACAGTATCTCAGCCCTCGCATAAATCGAATGATTTATGTGGCGTATATCTGTTTGGTGTCTACTTGTACCAATGCTTATGCGTTTAAATAAATAAATAATCCTGTGGTCTTATTATTATATATTAATGTGTTCTTTGTGATTATTATCTTATCAATTTCATTTTCTTACTTATCCGTTATTCTTTTGAGTCTGCTTATTATCTAAACAGGCTACTGTTGCTGAGGACATGTATAAGCTTTTTTTATTGCCTTGTTTATGTAGTCAATAGTATGTCGAAATTTCAGATAATAAATCTACATTGGTTAGATAATACATTTATTATGAATGTATAAAATAATTATACTTTTTAAGAATATAAGTTGATTTAATCAGGATGATTTCTATGCTTACATTATTGTTTTTTTCTTTTAATACAAAATAACCTTTGATCTTTGATGTGAAGTATACAACTACAATTTAAAAGTTCATTTTTGTAAACAGTACTTGTTAACAATGAAAAGAGATTGAAGAATATATATATATATAATTGTGTTTTTATTATTCTGCATGTTTCAGCAAGCTTATAAACGAGATTTATTTTATGGATCAAATAATATAGTTTCCTAGTCAAAGTCTATCTTATAAGAATTGAATCTTTTTTTTTCCATTGAGATCGATAATGAGTTTTTGTTTCAATTTATTTTGTATTGTTTCTTGATTATAAGAAATATGGAACTATTTAGAAATCAAACACAAAATTAGTTTTGTATGGGAGGTGGGGGACTGCTTTCATGATGAATTGATGTCAATTACTGAACTATTGGTTGGAAATTAATAAATAATAGATAATAGTTACTTTGGGGTTGTTTGGGATTCATTGATACAATACTCAACATATGGTTCCATTTGGGTTTGAATATAAGACATCCGGGCTTCTCAGAGAGCACGGTACCCTTGGTCTACTTAGTTGGAGTCTAAATATCGTCTCGAAATGCTCTCACATGCATGCAACCACTGCTAGGGCAGTCCTACTCACTGCCTTCTGGCGGCGGGGGTGTTGTCTACAAAATTGACGGAAAGCGAAAGTCCGACACTTTAACGGGGTTGGTGGATACGGTTGGGCACCTGGAGAGTATCCCAGCCCTCACACAAATCGAATGACTTATGTGGCGTATATCTGTTTGGTGTCTACTTGTACCAATGTTTATGTGTTTAAAGAAATAAAATAAGTAGATGTCCAAACATTCAATTCCCATCATTTTGCGATATAATCAAACTTTATCAGTCAAAACTCTTCACTAGGTACTCGGAAATCCACTGTGAGCAAGGAAATTACTGTTTGGTAAAGTTGTTTATGAGAATTAGCACAAATCTAAAAGCAATCATCATGAATTGTTGATGTGCTGTCAAAAAACAGATTTCTTGTAGTTATTTTTGGGACTCATGAAATTAGGAGTGCTGTTGTATTGATCTAGTCCAAGTATTGATTAGTTTGTTTGGACTTTCTTGTTTGCACCAATGACTTTCGGCTAGCTAATAGGACGATGATAGTGAGAATACATACGTGAATACTATTTATTGACATTAGTCCAGAATGCAGTTTTCTCACATTCACTCGCCTGATAGTCAGAACAAAATACAACACAGCAGGTGAAATCTTCTACTTATACAGTCCACTTTCATGGTTTAACTGATACAGAGCAAAATTCTGACCACTTATCGTCAACATTGAGAAATTACAAAATAGGAATAACTATGCATCAATTGAAAGCGAACTAAGTAAATGATCCAGAACTAATTGGCAGTAATGTTAGAAACATACAACTTATAACAATAGTTTACGCATCACTAAAAAGCTTACAAATAGGAAAATACAAGAATGCAATAATTTAAGTGTTTAAGTAATTAAACAACACAATATGAATAATATCTTCAGTTAAAACAGTCTCGAAAGTTCAACTGGCGAAACTATAATTTATGGACGAACCAATCACGCATAAAGTAACAGGTCTCGGATATTGGCGCGAAATTCATTCATCCATTTGGCTAAATAGAGTTTTGGCATTATAACTTATGTCAGTTCGTGATAAAAACCCGAAATCTAGTTCCTAACCTTAATCGTCAACTGTGAATTCTAATTCTAATGCCCCAAACTGATTTATAATCCTCATTTCGTCCTAGTTATTAGGTGGACACTCTGAAGGTCAGTCTAACGTCGCTCAAAATTCGTCCATAAATTATAGTC